GCTGATGCGATGACGAACATCGCTCGGTAAACCTGTCATCCTCGTTTGCGCCGGATCGCCACGTCGAACGCTCGTTGTGTCCGCGTTGCTATTTCGAGTACGAAATCCTCACATTATTGCCAACACTATCGGGACAGGTGCGTGCAGGTGTGCGGCTGACGAAATGCACATTAAACGAGATACGTAAGTACGAGAATTAGTGTGTTGCGTTACGCAATCGGAACGAGGAAGTACCGAAGGTTAAAGTAGTTGGTCCGTGGTAATACCGTTAGATAAATAACGGTTGATACAACGTGAAGAGGCTCGACGGATTTGTGCTGAATCATGTTTATAAACATGATTTATGATGTACGATACACAGCTTTGATACTTGAGCCGAGAGAACATCAATCGAACTTACGTAAAAAAATGTAATATCGCAGAGGTCATTTTCATATCTGTGAGTTACTTATAAATAGATACACGTAAATAGAGCTAACTTTGACTTCGATTATTTCGGCTTCGGCCAATCTTTCTTTCGAACTTTCACGCGTGTGTAGACGTTTCATCGTGTTTCGACTGATATCCCGTGAAAATTTGAAAAAAATTTCGAAGGAAATAAATTCACTACGGACCCAACTACTTCAACGAGATTATGCGTCCTCGCGGTCCATCGGTCTGTGGGTTTCCTGGCTGACGAGGAGCCTTTCGTTTCTCGGAAAGACCGACGTTCGCCGGGGATACTTGTAACAAACATATTTCCACGGGCGTGGAGTGTCAGATGTTTACAGGCGGTGCTCCAGTAACCGCTTGAAATAGATCGAATCGTTCCAGATTTTCGTGCCACCGGCCGACGCTTTCGATGGGCACACGGTGTCCCGAAAAACCCGTCGCGGGTAGCGCACTTGGCAGTACCGCCGTCGGTCGTATTACTTAGCGTCGATCGCGCCTTCGACTTCCGGCAAAACGAGAACGAGTTCGATTAACGAGCATTCGAGCGCCGGAGCGATTCCGCGATGTTTCGGCCCGCACGTTTTGTTCGGTTACGCAAATACAACACGATCGTTGCGTAACGACGTGTCTCGTCGCGATAACGAAAAGTTACGAAACGAGCGCGATAAATAAATGGACGGACATAATATTAATATCGTCGCTTTTTGTCTCGGTTCACGCTGTCCTTTCGACAAATTACTTCCCGGATCCCCGGCGGTTACTTCGATTTCTTCGAATTGGAGTACGACTGGATGTACAATCCAATGAAATAGAAGATCTCCACGACACTTATGAAACTGCAGCCGAGGAAGAGGCTGAATATGCCGCCCACGGACGCTGGAAAGAAAACGAGGAGGGATACCTCTTTTACTCCTTGCTCGAAGTCGCAAAGCGACGAGCGTTGGGCGAATGAGAGATCGCTCACCTAGCAGGTATAATTCGTCGGCGACCGGGATTGTGTCGGTCACGGTGAAGGTTTCGTAACTCATGAACACTTTTACGATCGCTTGCGCTTCCGTCAGATTTTTGCTGCAACACGCAAATTCGGATAGAATTTACATGGGGTTGCGATCTGTACAGGCTTTTCCAAATAACTCGTTACGGCCACGTATCTTGAGAGAAATATCTCGTTACCGGCGAAATAACGCGGACAAATTTTAATGTAGGACATTCAGTTGCGCGAACCGATTCTTTTTCCACGCGACATTTGTATTTGACGGCATAACCACGACGTGTGCACATCCCGGAATTAACGAGTCGCAACTTACTTCATGTACCAGACATTGGACTCGTGTCTGTTCAATATGCCTATCGATGCCTGCGTATCGTAATACATATCCTTGCACGGCGAGTAACATTTACACGTGAAGTTTCGTATGGTGATTTCCTGAATCACCCGTATGTTGTCCGCGTTCTCGTAGAGACAAATGAAATTCTCCCAGTCGCAGATCTACGGAAGCATATGTCGCGGATACGTTAAATAATTCGCACACTCAGTGCGCTCGTTAATAATATGTAGTATGTTTTAAATTGGCGCCGGATGTGCTGTGTTTTATAAGCTAAATAAGATATGATAACACGAAGAAACGGCGATTTCTGGTTACCTTCAACGAATATTTGACCGCCACGGGCTCGTAGTAGAATGGCACGCAGCCGCAGATCTCGAGGGAGGCCTGGATGGAGCAGTCGATGAAGCAATTGGAGTACAGATACATGGGAAAGTACCTCAGTTTAGCAGCGTTTCCTTCCACGCAGTGNTTTTAATGTAGGACATTCAGTTGCGCGAACCGATTCTTTTTCCACGCGACCTCAGTTTAGCAGCGTTTCCTTCCACGCAGTGGAACAGGGACGAGAACACCATAACTGTTTCGCCGGGAGTATCCGCTGAGCTTCACCTTGACACTTGGAATTACGGCAACCTGTCGGGGAAAGATTGGGCAAAGCTGTCAGGCACACCGATCGGAGAGATCGAGTCATCTTCTTAGATATTTTTCGCAGAAACACATTATTTGAATTTTCGCTTGTGTTATTCAATTACCCGTAATTCCTGTCCCGTTTGGAGGAGGTGTCTGTTAGCGATGGGACCGAGATACTCCATAGGATGATGGGCATACACCTGTTTCGAAGGAAAACAAAAAGGAAAAAGGTGTCAATGATTCTTCCGAACTTTTTCGGATACGCATTTAACGAAGAATGTAATAAACGAACGTGCAAGGTTATTTTCATAAATTATTATCAGTTAATATTTTTGTATCACTCATCGGTAAAGATGATGCTAAAAATACTGCTCGCTTAAAAGTGACCTTCTATCACACTGTTAAAATTGCATGTTACACGTGTAAATTTCTATAAGGGTGCGCGCTAAAACGAAGTGTGAGAATATGTTGGGTGAATGTGTGAGAGTGTGTGAGAAAAATGTTGTGTGATTGTGTGAGAAGAATGTTGAATCACATGCAAATAGTTATTTTTCTTCTAAAAAAAAAGAAATGAGGAACATCTTCCGTATACATAAAAAAGAATTTTTATTAAAATTCCGAGTTTTGGCTAAGAATTTTCACTTTCAAATTACTGTGCAACGTTAACATTGCGTACCAAAATACCGACAGAGTTGGTCGAGTATCTGATGAACTCGCCGGTGCCGTCATGCTCGTTCCGCAGCATATTCCGATGGAGAGTAAGCACGAGACCTTTTGTCGGCCCGAAGTACGCAGTTCTGAGGTACTGAATGTTGTCCACATTTCTGACAGTCGAGACATGGGAATAAAATGAAACGAAGTAAAAATAAAACGCAATAAAATCAAAAGAAAATTAATAAGTTAGCATTACCTCGAGCATTCGAATAGAAATAATAAGCGGAAATAATCGTGTACCTGTCGGTGCCTATATAATCTTCCAGATAAAAATTGAAGGAGCAACATATGCCCTGGGAGGAGTGAGACATTCTGAACAGTTCGCTGCAGTTCATTTTTACTCCGTCCCACCAGCAGGACTCCATCAGATCTTCGCAGGGTCGCAGAAACTTCAACATTTCCAGCAGCGACATATTGTTGAAATCCAACAGCTTCCTCAAATTGTTCAGGTGTCTCTTACCATCGGGGACGCGCTCGCTCGCAAATGCGGACCCGTATCTGAAAAATTTTGCAGCTCGTGGCGTTAAACTGGCGTCAGCTTGGCACATTGAATGCCGCGATGATCGCCGCATATAAAAAAAAGGACATTTTTTAAATTTAGTATTCCTATTTATTTGACCGAAATTTGTTTTACTGAAGCGACTCGGATAGCCAAACCTGCTTAAGTAGATTCTGAGCGGAGCTTGCTATTATGATTATGGCATATTTGAGAAATGCTTGCTGTAAAGCGTCAAGTGGATTGCAGCCTAAATTAGCCGCAGGTGTTACTTTTGAGAACCGTATGACCGGCGACCGACNCTCACCATCTCCAATCACTCTGCAAATCGCAATGCGCGAACACGTACATACTTGAGCAAAAACATTGCCGTTTGGTTGTCCATGTAGTCCGGCACGTGCATACGTGACAGTAGTTTCCTGCGTGTCGTGGCCAATGGCGGTACCAAAGGACAAAGAGTTACGGCCGGGAAGGGAATCATGAATACAGGTGCCTGGAAGGACTCGACGACGGTGCGAAGCGGATTAGCGGTGTAACGCTTCCAGAAGGTGTTGACCATCCAGATTAAGACTGAAACAACGGCGAACGAATCCTGACCGCTTTGAAACTGCGATGAGTCTCGACGGTCTTTTAACCTCGTAACCGCAGCGACTGTTCGAGAGCGTATCGCCTAGCTAACAAGATGACGTCAAATGACACATCTTAAAGACGTCTTGATTGATGCCGAAGACCACCATTAAGACGTTATCAAGACGCTATTTGCTGTCACTTTCTTAGTCGGGCAGGTTGGTGCAAAAGCAGGATTCTTCCTATTCCAGTAATTTCCCTCTCAAATCGTGAAAATTATCTTTGAATACGACAAGAATATATTTTGAAAAGAATTATATGGAATTTCATGTGAGAGCAAATTTTATCTTCGTATAAGATTATATATTCTTGCTTACATATATATGAGAATATGAGTCTTTCATTGATACGAATTTTTGGTTTGTTTTTACATGTACACGATTGGTGTTATTTCAATCAATTCAGACACCCCGTGTGCTGAAGTTACGAATGAGACTTACACGCGAAGCTGCAGATCATGACCAGAGCCCAGCAGACCTTTCCGACGATGCTGGCCCGTATCGGCAAGTTGCTGAGGTACTTGATGCCGTGCACCGAACTGTCCTGCAGATATTCCTGCAGAAATCTACGAGCGATCGACTTCGCGCTCTCGTTTGCCGAACGATCGTCCCGCAATTTCGCATTGACATTCTCGAGCGATCTTTTTTTGCTCGCCTTCCTCGAGACCTGCGCGTGACCCACCACGATCCTTTTCACCGCGTGACGTCTCTCCTCCACGCGAGATCTTCGGTAACATGACGCTAACGGAGGACCGGAACCACTGTTACATGTGTACAGTTCTTTTTTTTCTCTTCGTACTCTCCCACAGTTGCTGCAAAATGTCTCGCATACGAACTGTCCGTTTGACGCGTGCCGACGTGGTGCTTTTTCTACACCGTGGGGCTGTACTGTTGTTTGACCGAGTCACACACGCCGAGATGCTATCGCGCGCGCAGAAAGTTGCGATCAAGCATGCGAGAGCCGCGCGTGCTGAACGTGAATTATTTATCGCGCTCTCTGCAAATTTAATGTAATGTAGACGACGACGAGTCACCTGTAATTTTCCCCGGTTATCGCGATGAACGCGGTGGATTTAATGTGATCGAGGCGATCGAGGTTGAAAGTGAAGCGCAAATCGATTTCGCGCGCTAACGATGCTTGATTTTCAATCACAACGTTGAAAATA